TTACCCCACCCCCGGCCCTGCCTCAACTCCGCCCCTTCCCCAAATCCCCAGCCCTGCCTCCTCTCCCCAGGCTCTCAAGCCTAGGAGGGAGGGAGGGGGAGCAGCGGCGCGCAAAACGGCCCCTCGGGATTTCCCCTCCCTCCCCAGGTTTGAGAGCCTGGGAGGGAGGGCGAGTAGCGGCGCGCGAATCAGCTGTTTCGCACGCCGTGGCAGCAGCAGCGGAGGTGAGCTAGGGCGGCCGGGGCACATTTTTAGGGGCGGTATTCTGGTGCCGGCCATGCCGCCCCTAGCACCAGCTTGTTTTGTTGGTGCCTAGAGCTGGCCCTGAATCCAGCACATTTAACCTGAAGAAAATGTATTTAAAATAAACAAAGATCCCCAGGTGGAGCAGGGAGAGCCGCATGGGTGTTAGGTTTGGAAGGGCTACATTTTAAAAAACAGAAGCCCAAGTTGAAGAAGGAAAGAGTGACATGACTGATTTTAACAACTCCATCTTGTTGGGCTAGAAATTGTATCCCCCAGGGCATGCTGGTCCCAGGTAGAGAGGGATGGCCATGGGATTTCCCTTGGCTGCTCTGGAGGGGGACTACCTTGGTGGTAATGGGTCACAGGCCCCATAGGTTGGTGGATTCTGTAGTTAGTGGAGGTTTGAGTTGCTCATGGAGCCCTATGAGACTTAGGGTACATCTACGCTGCAATTAAAAACCGGCTGCTGGCCTGTGCCAACTGCGTCAGGCTCGTGGGGCTCAGGCTAACTGGCAGTTTAATTGCAGTGTAGGCTTTCAGCTCGGGCTTTAGGACCCTGCGAGATGGGAGGGTCCCAGCGCTCGAGCTGCAGCCCGAGCCCATGCAATTAAACAACTCCTTAGCCCGAGCCTGAGTCAGCTGGCACGGGCCAGCCATGAGTGTCTAATTGCAGTGTAGACATATCCTCAGGGACCAAAACACTTGGAAATCCATTTTGAATGTGAAAAGAGAAACCTGACTGATTCTCCCTCTCTCTCTAGTAAACCTAGACTGTAAGCTCAGGGCAGGGACAGTTGTCTTATATTTGCCTTCAAAAGTGCCATGAAAATGTAGAAGAATTAATAAATACATTGGATGATTCAGAAACAACCACCACGCGGCTTTCCCCCCTTGACTCTGAGCAGCAATGAATCCAGTTGGGTCTGGTGAACCATTCCTAACACAGGCTCTTTGGGATCAGGGAAGGGGTTGACTTCTTTGGCCACGGCAGACTTAAACCGATTCACTATGTGTCAGTGACATGAAACAGAGTTTCCGGTTAGATCTCGTTCTGTTCATTCAGGTCATTGGTTAAGCTATCGTACTCGCTGGAGCGCGGTGACATGCCCAGGTACTGCTTCAAGAACTCGCTAAACCTCTTCTGGTTGTTCCACTTCCGGGCCGACTTCCTGACCCCGATGAAGCCCCCGTACCGCTTCTGCACCCCCTGCACGGTGGGCTCCAGCACCTGCCTGTAACTGTACTTTCCTTTGAGGAAGCCACCGAGCCGCTTGGAAATATCCTTGGGCTGCTCTTGGAAGTCACCCAGCGGGGTCTCACTCCCATTGCTGACACCCTCGTCCACCTCCCGCTGGCGGATCAGGCTGCTCACCTTGGAAACTCTCTTCTCACCTTCCACTTTGCTAAGATCCACCACTTTGGTGAGGTCATCGAAGTGCTTCCGGCTGCCTCTGAACAGGCCACTATCGTCCATCTCTAAGGGCTGGTAGGAATCTTCTTCCAGGCTGTCAGCGCTCACCTGTATGGACGACTTCCCAGCCACTTTGGTGCAAAGCTCCCAGGTGGTACTCGAAAAGGCCTTCCCTTCGCACTCCATGATGCAGACCTGCAGAGAGGAACAAAGCAAGGAGGCTTTCAATTGGCCATTGAGCCTTTTCTCCAGCGAGTGTTCTCCTGCAGAACACTAGTGCAAAGTCTGTGCTCTGCTTCAAGCCCTACTTAAGCCCTCAGTGACAATTGCTCATCAATGTGAGCTTGTGTAACCTTCTGGGTGTGGTGTTCTGTCCTATCTAGTGGCCCTGGGACCACTTAGAGAAAGAGAGAGAGATTAATGAGTCTGCTCTACTGCCTTAGGTAATAGCCATATGGCTTTTAGCTCATGCGGTAGAAGCTCAGGCATTTAGCTCCAGAGGTCCTGGGTTCGATCCTGCCTGCCGCTAACCAGGGTCTGTCAGTGTTACACGGTTTCCCAACGTGGCTGTTTGTTAGCCAACAATTAATAGCTGTAGACCATTGTATAGATCTGGCCAAGGCAGCATAGCGTCTTTCCTGGATTCGGCCTAAACTGCTAGGGAACCAATAATCCCAAAATGTTTGAAAAGGGCCGTACAGAATAAGGATTAATTGAAGCAAGTAATTATGCTAATTCCCTGTCCTGCAGGCAGAGCTATCTTTGGTATGCATGGAGTTCTGCACATCAGAGGAATGGCACGACTTTGTCCTAGCTGGAGAGGCCCATGACATAGTATTGCTTCTTTTTTGACCTGATCAACTAGTTACATTTTGGGGCCATAATAGGGTGACCAGATATCCCGATTTTATAGGGACAGTCCTGATATTTGGGGGTTTGTCTTGTATAGGCACCTGTTATCCCCTAGCCCCCGTCTTTCACACTTGCTGTCTAGTCACCCTAGGTCATGGGGATGTTCTAGCTGGAAGTAGAAATTGATGGAGTCTGGTATTTAGCTTTGATGCAATCTTGTTTATTTACAAGGAATGTACAAGGTTCTGCTTCCCCAAACGCAGTAGGAATCACGAAAAAAAGGAGCTGTGCGCACTCTAGCTTTTTCCAGGGTTACACTACGCTCACCAACTACTGCTGGGCTTTCTTTCTTTGTTCTGTCTGTTCTCAGTTTCTGTGTGTTCTGCCTACACATGAACACCCCCCCCCAACCAATACTCAGCAAAACCCTTCCTCGCACTCAGTCAACGAACTCCTGGGTGGGCTCTCTTAGGCCTTGGCTAGACTGGCGCTGTACAGCGCTGCAACTTGCTGTGCTCAGGGGTGTGAAAACACACACACACCCCCCCGAGCGCAGCGAGTGCAGCTCTGTAAAGCTGCCGCGGCAGCGCTGTGAATTCCCGAGTGTAGCCAAGGCCTTAGGCTTTAGTTAAGGGGCCACACCCAAAACTCTTCACAGCTATTTTAAGTGAAGGGTGAATTCGCACATCGCTTTCAATGAGGTTTTAATTTCACCCATCACAAGGTTTAATCCAGTTCATAACAGCAGCATTTAAAATACAGAGTATGTGCGTTAAATGCACCCTTCTGCTGGAGGACATTTTGAAACAAATCTTGTTTCAGCCTCCTGGCAAAATATATTCCCATCAGCCACAGCTATCGAAGGTTGTGCTGAGGGGGCTAGATCCTCTTCGTGCTCATCCCAACTGTCAGATTACAGCAGCCTGTAAAATGCCTGCAGCTGTGTAATACTGAGGTTATAAAACTGCACAACAGCCCCTCTGACCTGCAGAATGGCATTTAATTAGCCTTGTGTAACTGGGTAAAAATCGGAGGGGAAAGCAGTTGTGCTCACAATGGGGCTATCTAGCCAGCCCTGTAATCCTGTCACTGAAGCATGTCTGGAAATAGTTAACGCCCTTCAGGTTTTTCCTTCCTCTCTCTGCTTTGGCTGCTTGGCAGCACTGAACTGTCTGTGCAGAGGATTCACAGACAACATTCAAACCTGATGTGGGAATTATCCTACTGCCCCCATCGTAATAGTATCTGGGCACCTTTTACAGCCCAGCAGGCATCCCTTTAGACACTGTACGTAGACATAAAGCTAGATTTTCTTCTCAGTTATGCTGGTACAAAGCCAGAGTAACTCCATTGACTTGCATTGGGTGACTAGTCCACCCAAAATCAGAACGAACTCAAACCTGAACTGATCCTTTTCTGAGCGTTGGAACTGCTCCCTCCCCCTTAGCTTTCATTTGTTTAAAAACCTTCCGGTCTCCGGTTCTAGCATCCCCACTATGAAAGATGCTGAAATACACATGTGGGATGTCTCACCTAACATTGTTGGTTATTTTTACAAGTCTGACCCTGAGAGGCTTCCACCCCAAATGTAGGAGATTTGAGAGATTCCAATAGGTCAAGTAAGCATCTGAACTTATGGGTTCTCAGACAGTGTCTCACTGTGTGGCCTTGGGCAAGTCACTTTGCCATGTCTCCGTTTGCCCATCAGCTCAGAATGATAATACTTGCCTATCTGGGGGCAGTTAATGCTTGTAAAGCACTATGGATTCCCCTGGGTTGAAAAGAGCCACAGAAATGCAATGTCTTCTAGAAATGCATAATGTATTAATTATCCAAACTGATCCTCAAGACTGTTCACTTCACCCCCGCTTTCACAAGGACTTATCTGTGGAACCTCTGTGTGACTACTGGGGAAGCAGACAGCAACTGCTTCAAAAAACAATATCCACTCATCGGTGAAAATGATTCACGTTTCCCTTTGAAGTTTGTGCTTCTGTTCCACTCTCCCTCTGCTTATTACGGCTCTGTCCTTAATCCAGGCATCATCCGCATCCTTCCTCCTTTTATCAGACCTAGTTCTCCCCAGGCTAGGACGTGGATCAAACGACGGGTCATGTGGCCACAGCTTTTGCTGTTAGTCATGGTTAGCAAGCCTCGTGTTGATGACTAAAACCAGCCAACGGGGAAAACTGGTCCAGGGGAAAATAGTATTTTTTTGTTATCTTCAGACAGAAACCGATTTGGTCCTCTCCAAAGTTGTTTGTATGACGCAGGCTGGGCCAAAATGACGCACTGGTTGCAGCAACAGATCGGATCAAACTAAACAATGTGTGTAGAGCGTGCCAGTTTAGTCCAGAGATGTAGCTCGCACAGGGAGCAGGGCCGCACAGACACTATCTACCTGGGCTGGAGAGAGGACACACCAGAAGTATGATTGGCAACCTGGGTTTCCTCTGGGAGGTACTGTCCAAGGGACTGCATGACCAGAGCAAGAGAGACCCAGAGGAGAAGGTGGGGGTGATTCTTAACCTCCACTGCCGCATGGAGAGGGAGCTGTTTTCTGACTGTCCCAGTCAGAGGGTCTGAGGCTACCTCAGAGAGTCCATAGGCCACTCTCTGCTCTGGAAGCCAGGAGTCAGCCAGGGCTTGATTCGACTGGGACATCAACCAGCTGCATGCAGAAGCTGCCTGCAGCTCAGACAGTGATACCTACCTGCCCCTCAAACAGCTCTCTTGATCAGGCTGGGGGTGGCCCTTGGGGAGGGGTGGGGGTTCTCTCCTAATACTGCTGGAAATAATCAAGAAAAGGATAGATAATAGGACAAAACATATGATGTTGCCTCTATTTAAAGCCCATATCTTGAATACTGTGTGCAGATGTGGTCGCCCCATCTCAAAAAAGATATCTTGGAATTGGAAAAGGTTCAGAAAAGGGCAACAAAAATGATTAGGGGTCTGGAACGGCTTCCGTATGAGGAGAGATTAATAAGACCGGGACTTTTCAGCTTGGAAAAGAGATGGCTAAGGGGAGATATGATTGAGGTCTATAAAATCATGACTGGTGTAGAGAAAGTAGATAGGAAAGTGTTGTTTACTACTTCTCATAACACAAGAACTAGGGGTCACCAAATGAAATCAATAGGCAGCAGGTTTAAAACAAATAAAAGGAAGTATTTCTTCACACAACACACAGTCAACCTGTGGAACTCCATGCCAGAGGACGTTGTGAAGGCTAAGACCATAACAGGGTTCAGAAAAGAACTAGATAAATTCATGGAGGATAGGTCCACCAATGGCTATTAGCCAGGATGGGCAGGAATGGTGTCTGTTTGCCAGAAGCTGGGAATGAGCGACAGAGGATGGATCATTTGATGATTACCTGTTCTGTTCTTTCCCTCTGGAGCACCTGGCACTGGCCACTGTTGAAAGACAGGATACTGGGCTAGATGGACCTTTGGTCTGACCCAGTAGGGCCATTCTTATGTTCTTATGTACTGGTATCGTAGTGGGTTTTCACTTGGTGTTTGTAATATTGCTTGCAGCTTTTAGTCACCATCCCTAGCTCTGTCTCCTGTTCCTTTCTCCTCCCATAATGACCCCCTTTCCTGTTCCAGGTTGTAAACGGTTGTTGGTTTTGATGTGGCTTAGATTTGCTATGTTAGTTTTATCTAAGAGGTCATAGGGTATTAGCCCTGTGTACGCCTGCCTTTAGGTGAGGGCACCCGTCACCTGGACCCAGAGCCCATTGGTCCTAAGGGGAAGGGAGAGGGTCTGAGAGTAACCGAGGGGGGCGGAATCAGCCTCCTTTCCAGATTGGGGCACCATAGGAGGCGTACCCTTAGAAACCATAGGTGTAGTTTGACTTCTATATTTGGGGTGGCAGCTGCAGTCAGGCCAGTGGGGCTGCGTTTGGGGGGACAAATTCTGTACCTGCCAGTACCCCGCCAAACCACACCCATATTAGAAACCTGTAGGTTTATTAAATGTATAGCTCATGGGCCTGTCTTCCCAAAGTCCAGGGGTGTCTGGACCTGGAGTCTTGGTTGTGACTATCTCGTCTGTATATCTAATAATGGGGAGAAAACCTTACATTAAAACAGAGGGCCCTGGGAGTATGGAATGCTATTCTCAGCACTCCTGGTAAGATCTCTCCTGAGTTGTGAATGCTCTCTTCAGAGGTAAGTATAGACCTGTTGGTGAACTTTATGCCACTTGAGGGAGCTTTTTCACTGTAACTCCTATGTGGTGGTGTAGTTTTACTCTGTCAGTGTTCAGAGTGGTAGCCGTGTTAGTCTGGCATTTCTATAGCATCTTGCTTCTGGGGAACCCAAAGTGCTTTACAA